AAGCTGCACAACCAAAGAAGGTTCAGTAAACCCGAGTTTTATCAATTTAGCAATGCGCGAGATATAGGTTCACTGAACTTTGGTCCGTTACATACAGGTTATGTACAACGTTTTGCTACCTATACAGCTTATATCCAGTCCCTATGTGGAGCATTGTATAGTTGATAAAACCTGTGTGATTGCTGAGTACAAGAGGACAGAGGACAAGCTGCTGCTGTCCATGTGACAAGTATGGTGGTACATGATGTCTGGTTTAGGCTCTGCAGGTTTGTCCAGTCACGTATGGCTGACGTCTTCTTGGAATAAACGACAGGGGAACAAGAACCTGGAGGGAGAGTTTATTTGCAAACACAGTGGCAGGTGAAAGGTTGGGGGCCATGTTGAAAATGCTACATTGGTGGCAGGTGCTTACATCAGAGAGAAAAACATGGGGAGCAACAGAATTGTACACATGTGTACACAGATATGATGTACAGTTGATGTACTGACATACACATGAACAGACACCTTCACTGTACGTTGTAGAGGTCTTACCGGAACTAGGCTTGTACTGCACAGTGGTGAGGTATGAACATGAACTCTGTACAGCAATACAGTGGTCCAGGATCAACATGTTTAACTTTGTGTACAGCTGTACAGTTGTGCTTAAGTCCTGTATTTATACCCAACTATGCACAAATGTACAGATGAAACACTGTACAGTACACTGAGCAAGTACTCCACACACATTCTGAGGGCTGGCCTGACACTGACTTATACTGCAGACACTGCATGTTGTGCTGTGGCTGTGTTCCAGCTACCTGTACATGCTACCTGTGTACAACAGAGTACACAAACTGTGAAGGGTGGTAGGTATCCCATATACTGTAAAATGATTCAGACAGTACACTGTACAGGGCTAACTGGTTAAACATTTTAATTTTCTATTTGTATTCGGAAGAAGTATACAACCATTTTGTTCAACATGATACAGTAAAAAACAGAAAAAAGCTCTCATTTTCTGTCATATAGTGCTCTGAAGAATGGCACAGTAGGCATGTACAGTGTCCTCCATGTCCAAGGCAACACTTTTTCTAATAATTGGTTTACGGATCTACCAAGCAACAAAAAAAAAGTAAACACATCTGAAAAATGCTTTATATATACTTCCCCAAGACGCAAAAGTATGTGTTTAAACCTAAAATGTCAAAATAGAATAACAAATAGCAAGTAAACCAAGTGATTACAGATAAATTATTTGTTCAGCATCATTCAGATGACCTTTCACAAACTGAACCAATTCTGAAATATATTCAGTTGTTTTTACACTCACCAACCTGGATTTTCATATGAAAATCTGTAAACCAAGAAATATAAAAAGTTTGGCCGAAGACTGAGTGTGACATTATCAACTATGTATTACAGGCATACAGCGGCAGGGGACCTTGTGCAAGCACAATAAAACTCTCAATGATGAAAAAATACATGTGCCAAGTGGCACAACATGTGCCCAGAGGCACAATATCAAGGAGAACAATCATACATGCTACCACAACACATGGTGAAGGTTGTGTGAGGTGGAGTCTAGTCACTTGGTTAATCTAATCACAGTGCAGGGAAATAAAGCTGTCCTGAACAACTGCCAATCAATAATCAGAATATCTCAATTGTACATTTGTTTGCCTGTGCTGCAGGCATTTGCTGCTAGAATACAAATGAATAAACACATTGTGAATTTTGCTACAACCAAATGAATATTGAGTTAAACCATGTATGTTTGGTCTGTGTTAACATAGGGAGCTGGTTCACACATGTCTGGGTGCAACTTTGGGTGAACCAACTGATTAGTGCTATCGCTGCTGATGTGAATGTTTGTAGGTATTTTGGATGAATGTATGGCTGTGGCTGAATACATTTCTGATTGGTGCAAAGTTGGTGAATGTCTTTTTCTTTCTTTCTTTCTTTTTTTTGAGGGCATGGTTCTGGATGGGCAACTTCTGATGTGTGTAAAGCTGCAACAGATCATGTCTGTATTTGATGGGTGCCATGATATAAATAGATCAGTGTTGGATGAAGCCCATGTGTGAATATATGTTTGATGTAAGACTGGGGGGTTGGTGAGTGATTGTGAGAATTATGTAGTGTGCTATGTGAAGAGGTATGGCATAGCCAGGGATTTAGCAAATGACCTTCTGCTACCTGTGCAGATTTTCTATCCACTAGACCAGAGAAGCTGTGTTTGTTCTGCAGGTCAACACTGTATGTTTCTCATTGGTAACTCATGTTTCCGGGTTGCAACTGTATGTTTTAGGCTTGTAACTGTGTTTTATTGGTTGTAATGGCATGTTTCTTGGTTGCAATTAAGTGTTGGGTGCAAGGCTTGTAACTGTGTTTTAATGGTTGTAATGGCATGTTTCTGGGTTGCAATTAAGTGTTGGGTGCAAGGCTTGTAGCCTCTAACACAGCTTAGATAAGAACACCTGAAAACATTAATAACCTCCTCGACAACATCTGTCAGATGACATATGACAAACACACATGTAAATGCTTAACATGAGATCAGAAAAATATGAAATAACATCAAATGATCTTGAGATGTATAATACAAATGACTGCAGTCCCATCAAATACACTGAATCACCATGGTACCGCACATGCTTCAAACTTTGGGCCAGGAATATTTATAGCGGAGATTGTGCAAAGCAAAACTTCATGCAAAATATACAATAAATTTCCATTGCATAAATACAAAATATTTATCAAATGAGTTAGTCATAGGGGGGATTAAAATCAGCATTCTGCGTAAAGAGTTAGTGAACACTTCAATGATGGGCTACACACATCCTACTCCTCTCTACCAATGAATGTCTTCAACCTTCTGGTGGTTATGTATGGTATGTAATACAGGCGGTATGTACCCACGGTAATGGATACTTGTCCAATCACATTGTGGGCAGCTATCTTGCGAGCATGTGTCATATTTTTAGCATTAACACAGAACTAAACTGCTGTAAAGCAATGTGTTACCATAGAGTGACAGAGAAACAAGATATTTAACATTAGTCCCAGTGTATTGCTAGACCCTGCCAGTGTCACTGTACAATCACAGGCATTCCTTCACACAGGACCCACGTAACATCATCAGTCTGTGGTTACTACAGCAAAGAGCACCTCTGTTGAGCTGAAGCTATCTACCGACTGTCATGGAAACTGAACAATGCTAGCTGTGGGGTAGTTCCTCAAAGCAACCTTTGGGCTAAGAAAATCGTAGCTCTCATACTGTAAGAGACCTACAACTAGTGTAGTCCCATGATCAGTTTGTGGACAGGGCCCAGAACGCCACCAAGTATCATAATTAGGGTCATTTTAACATTAGGAACAGTGCTCTTCCTTATCTTCATTTAGTTTTCAAGCATTTGGAAAAACAACAATATTCTAGGTCACTATTCCAAATAATATTAATCAACAGTTCATCAGATTCCTGTAAAGAATTTATATGAACATTTGAAATGCCCCTTCGTGGTAAGTCGTCTCAGGTTGTGCTTATTTCAATGCTTCCACCATGACATATTTAACATGACCTAGATAGCTTGAGCCTAGATGAGATATATTTACAGATCTACAGGTGATAATGTACATCACTGAGCCACAAGATTTATCTCCCTTTATTACGCATGCATCAAATCAAATGTGGAGATGTCACATGTGCAATAGTATTGAATTTCGCTGCAAATCCCTATGCTAGTTTCATAGCCAGCATGAATAGAAATGGTGCAAATACAACTGTGGAAACTATTCCCTATCATGAAGTAGGATGTCAGGCTGCGATTGATATCAAAGGGAAATAACTCCACATTTTCTCCCATCCAGCTCAGATCTATATGGACTATGAATCGTGAAAAACACTGCCTTTATATTTCTGTACACAATAAGAAAAATAGCTCAAATCAATCTTCATTTCTGCAAACATGTCTTGAAAACGCTTTACAACTAACTTCATCTAATAGGAGCATGATACAGGCAACAAATCTTGACTGATGACTGTACTGCTTGGAGCCTGTATCTGAAATCTACCCTGAATATCTGGTAGGTGAGAAATATGAGGTGTCAAAACTACAGGCCTACACACCTGTCTAAGTCAAATAGGGCTACCATCACAATATGTTGAGAAAGGAGCCTCCATGAAATGAAAGAAACCGGAAATCACCCAAGAGAATGAAAATTTTACCTGCAATCAAGTTAAAATAACAGACAGGTGAGAACTACAATTCACTGATACAACTCCTCCCTCGCTTCAATCTGTACAATCAACATTCTCATGATCTTCTTCAGGGCACACTAAACTAGTTTAACAATGTAAAATGAAAAAATATCATGGCAATTTTTTTAAGAAAACAAAAACGACTTCAAGATGAAAAAATATGCATTAATATAAACATTCAACAATGTATTGTAAAAAGTATGTTTGGCTAACAATACTGAATTTGAAAGAAATGAAAATGAGAATTGCTTATATTAAACATAATGATTAAAGTAGATAATAATGGAAGCAAATGCTATCCTAGAGGTTTGACTCTAATGCTCCCTACATGTTGACCATACTTGTGCAGCTTGACCAGTCCTTATGTAGATGTTGATGAAAAGTATGAGGACGAGAAATCCAATGTGTTGTCAAGAAGATTGGACCGCAGACCAGTGTATTGGCAAGACAATATATAAATCACATGTCCATTCAGGAAAAGACTACTGTTACACACTCAAGACAGCAAAAAATATAATATCCTATCTATAGCCAGACAAGTCATTTTCTTGTGTTTAAGATGAGTCTTTAATTACAGATGGAAAGGTTATACACTAATGTAATCAGGGTATGAAACTCCCGAAGATTTCAGCCAGATCACAGGGCTGGTTAGACGTAAAACTTGCCAGCCCTGACCAATTCTTACCTGCCCGCAATTAATTTAGGTTTAACAAGCGACGTAGTTTATCGTCCAATTGGAATTCATCATTTATTTTTAAGAGTGAATTAATAATGATTTATTATCCTGAAAATTTGATACATATCTAAATTTCAAACCCGATTGAGGTGAATCTGAGAATCTCAGTCTGTGTTGAAAATAACCCATCCCCGGCAGTCAGACAGGAAGGTATTTCGAACGCTGATGTAATGTTTTTTTTGTTTGCACTCTTGTTGCATCTATATGGAGTTTACTACATGAAATTACATTCCGATCAACCATGACCGTCTTATTCTTTACCTCGACACTGTGTCTTGGCATTTTCATCCAGGATACATCTAACACAAGAAATAGAATTGATCTGGCAAAACGTAATAGTACAGACATTCATGGAATGAACATCCTAAATGAATAATTTTATATACTTATATCAGATCCCTGTCAAGATATTTTTGATACATTATCTGCCCTCGACCAAACACCTTTCACAGGAACACAGCAGGTGCTTATGAATAACTGTGCTTTCAAGTTGACATGGATTTTCATGATGCACCACAATGAATAAAGGCTTGCTTTCTATGATAGGTTAATCAATGTCTGGTTAGTTATTTCTGTGCTATGGACTAGACTCATGCTGCTGTGTATCTAGTTCATCAGTGTTGATGGAGAAGTAAATACACTCGGGACTATTATAAAAAAGCTCAGACAACACAGTCAATATTCTTAAAAGTCATTTTATACTCATCCTCTGATATATATATATATATATATATTTATATTGCAGAATATAAACATCTCATGAATATCAATAACTTCATATATTATCAATTATAAATAATTGTAATTATTTGCTGTACAAACACATCTCAGAATGTTAAGTATGGAAATGATGTCCTCACAACAAATTCAACTCAATCATAGAAAAACAGCATTCAATTTCAAATCAGAAGCCAAATCAACATGTTTAGATGAAGTTTCCCTATATTCACATACATACAAATCTCTAACAACAAACACGTGGAAAATAGTATACAGTAGGAACACCACTGAGACCATCTTTCTCCCAAGTTATAATGGGGGTGTGTGGAATACAGTATCAGTTCATTCTTCACAGCATTTGGCTGTCCTTGTACAGTGAATATATACAGCATTGGAGCCTGAACAAAACAGTAACACAAGGTGGCCGCCATTATGCCTGCCATTGCCTGGACTGAGATACCTTCTTGAGTCACAAGGCTCCGCAAGAGGCAATTGAAGAGGAGGCAACCCCAGAATATGGTGATAGATCTACATAGAAAAGAACCAAATACGCCCCACTCAACTCTGGGAGTGAGTATCACATTGAAGCAGACGCACAATTGAAGGATCACTTTTGGCACCTTCAATAAATTCTGCCAAAGACAACTTCCCATCCAGGTTTTTATCCATTTGTCGGAAGATTTTGTCGGTACGTTTCTCCGGTGTTGATTCATCCTCAGGCATTTTCATAACTGTGCCGACCATCTTGTAAATTGCCTGAAACACAACATTAACACCATTAATCATGCAGTCAGGTAACCTTCGGATGACCTAACCACTAGATTGCAAATTTATCAAAGTGTTATCAGCCTATCGATTTGCAGGAGGGTTTTGCAAGTGCAGAGAGTACAGAACATAGTGGTTCCATGCAAAGTCTCATGGACATTATTATGATCAAATGACAAATTCTTGATTTTAAAATTGAAAATCAAAAGTAGAAAACATCTGAAGAGGAAATCAATTCCTAAACATTGCGTTTGATGTAGTTCAGACATCAAATCTACACTCGATAGTCAATGTAGGCTCCTCAAGTGATAATTCCATCAAAGACGAAGGGACAAAGCACCAGTGCGTCAGGTCCACCCACACATACTTAACAGAAGCTACTTTCCTCACAACCAGTGGATGAGGCTAGAGCATTAGGAGAACATCTCATGCAGTGGCGTAATCTATCATGTCCATTATGGCACAGGGACTGGAGAAGTAAATAAAAGTGTGGAGACAAGAAAGCTTCCCCTTACATCACAGACATATGTCCTTATACTCGCTATGACCATGTACATGAATACAGGTTCAGCACAAAGACTCCACAAAGATCTTCCCAAGGTTATATTGATTTTGTGGATTGTATCATCATAAGGGTTATGATAGGAATGGAGGTGGAGACAGCTAATGAAGGAAGCAGGTTACTTAACAGTATGTACTGCAGGGATGGTTCAAGGATAATGCAATGTTTACTGGGTGACAAATGGTGGTCTCTAATATCAAAGAATTTACATGAGAGAGGAAATTTCTTTTTAAGAAGTACAATTACACTGTTCTGAACTCACATTTAATTCAGACTGATGAAGACATTGAACACAAGGAGTGATGTGGTATGAGTCTTGATTCTAGTCTGGAATTGTGTATCAAGCAGAGTAACGTTCACTACTGGCTGATGGAGAAGCATCAAGAAACAACAGAACAAACCTTCTCCCCATGTCTTTAATCATTTGGAAAATACATCTAACACAACCTTGAGTATGGCAAAAATTTGAAGCAAATTTGTTCAGCTTGTTTTTATCCCATGATGCACTTGTGCAATGTATTTGACCTTGACCCTTCCTATTGCACACAGTCTAATTGAATGTAGATTCTTGACTAAATATAGCTTGCTTCAGCACAGACATAACAGCTGACATCCCCGCACACAGTGGTAAGTCTTGGGCCTCCTCCCTTGGCAGTGCTGTTCTTGCTCAGCCACACAGCATAGTTAAGCTTATTATGGCAACAAGTTAAACTGGGGAGAAGGTTTGTTTATAGAATACATTCAAACTTGATAATGAGCAAGACTTGGTTAGGTATTGATGAGTGCAATGTTGAAGCGCTGAGATGCTATAGTGTAATTCCTGTGTAATATTCTAAACCATGGAGATCTACATGCTGTATAAAATCTTCGGAAAGTAAAATATGTTTGTTGTCTTGTTAATACAACTAGACATTTGTTATTTGGATAGGGATGAATAGACAATGAAAGGATGTACCATGGTCTGATGTATCTGGGTTGGATATATCAGGTCCTGATGTATTTGGGGAGGATATATGAGGGCCTGGTGTATTTGGGAGGAGGATGTATCAGGTCCTGATGTATCTGGGGAGGATATATCAGGGCCTGTGTATTTGGATGTATCTGGGGAGGATATATCAGGGCCTGATGTATCTTGGGGAGGATATATCAGGGCCTGGTGTATCTGGGGAGGATATATCAGGGCCTGGTGTATCTGGGGAGGATATATCAGGGCCTGGTGTATCTGGGGAGGATATATCAGGGCCTGATGTATCTGGGTAGGATATATCAGGGCCTGGTGTATTTGGGGAGGATATATCAGGATATATCAGGGCCTGGTGTATCTGGGGAGATATATATCAGGGCCTGGTGTATCTGGGGAGGATATATCAGGGCCTGATGTATCTGGGGAGGATATATCAGGGCCCAGTGTATCTGGGGAGGATATATCAGGGCCTGATGTATCTGGGGAGGATATATCAGGGCCTGGTGTATCTGGGTAGGATATATCAGGGCCTGGTGTATTTGGGGAGGATATATCAGGGCCTGATGTATCTGGGGAGGATATATCAGGGCCTGGTGTATCTGGGGAGGATATATCAGGGCCTGATGTATCTGGGGAGGATATATCAGGGCCTGGTGTATCTGGGTAGGATATATCAGGGCCTGGTGTATCTGGTAGGATATATCAGGGCCCAGTGTATTTGGGGAGGATATATCAGGGCCCAGTGTATATATATCAGGGCCTGATGTATCTGGGGAGGATATATCAGGGCCCAGTGTATCTGGGTAGGATATATCAGGGCCTGGTGTGTATCTGGGCCTGGTGTAGGATATATCAGGGCCTGGTGTATCTGGGAGGGGATATATCAGGGCCTGAGTGTATCTGGGGGAGGATATATCAGGGCCTGATGTATCTGGGGAGGATATATCAGGGCCTGATGTATCTGGGGAGGATATATCAGGGCCAGGGCCTGGTGTATCTGGGGTATATCAGGGCCCATGTATTTGGGTAGGGATATATCAGGGCCCAGTGTATTTGGGGAGGATATATCAGGGCCCAGTGTATTTGGGGAGGATATATATCAGGGTATCTGATGTATATGGGGAGGAGGATATATCAGGGCCCAGTATATCAGGGCCCAGTGTGTATTGGGGAGGATATATCAGGGCCCAGTGTATTTGGGGAGGATATATCAGGGCCTGGTGTATTTGGGGAGGATATATCAGGGCCCAGTGTGTTTGGGTAGGATATATCAGGGCCTGCTGTATCTGGGTAGGATGTATCAGGGCCTGCTGTATCTGGGTAGGATGTACCAGGGTAGGATGTATCTTGGTAGTATTTATCCTGCTGTATTTGGGTTTCATTTCAAAGGTGTAATTGTGTATTATTTAGAAACTTTCATTGTAATCAACCATGCTTATGGAAATAAGGGTATTTCTTCAGGTAAACTCAATCCACATGAGTATTTAAGGTACAATGTGCTATTTCCAGTCCCAAGATTAATTATTTACAGTTTTCGTTCCTGATTCAGGTAATTAACATTTACAAATTTCCATGCATAACTGACTAACATCACTAGTCCTGACCATATCACAGGAATATTGAGATTTACAGTAATCAGTTATATGTAATGGAATATCCCTACCAAAGTGGAGTAGTATATTTCATCTATGCATCCCTGTGGTATCTGGTATAGGAAGTATTGTAAGTTTCTTGACATGCATGGTATCATGAGGTGGTGATGAAATCAGGTGTGAGTTTCAAAACGGAGATTACCACAGACCGTCAGCCTGAGAACTGAAATCTTGGCCAGAATCCAACTAAGCCTTGATAGATATTCCACTGCTAATATTCTGCGTAAAATCCATTAGTTATGACTTCACCGTGACAAGAAATATTGTGGCTTGAGTTTCTCTATAGCATGCTCTCCGTGAGAGTCAGTGCATAATGACGGGGAAACAGAGGTTGTAGGATTTACTCTGGAGGAAAGATGGAGATCAGCTTAAATGATTACAATCTGACCTTTTGTTCATGAAAGGATGATTTGTTGAATGTCAGACCTAATACCTGATGTGTAGTGTTTTCTGGGAGCTAGGGAACTTGTTTTCACTTGCTGCGTGTTTAAACCATGTAGATTGGAGGCACTCACAGCCCTGCCACAGTCAGATAAGCTCAAGACATACTGCCAAGAGGCAGGTATTCTGGCTGCCTATTCCATATCGGGTGCAGTTACTGCTCACAAATGAATTGCTAGGAAACACATTAAACAGAAATATAGCCAGGTGTAAATACATGTTTCTATAAACTGAGTCATGGAATTATTTACTGAGATTTATTTAAGCTGGTGGGTGCTGTGCTGTGCTGTGGGTGTTGGAAAAGGACTACTCAGAAGATATAGAATGAAGCGGATATAGGGTGGTGGGTGGAGGGTGAGGTATCCTGGATACACACTGGGCTGGTGAAAATGGGAAATGGGGTGCATAATCAATATTTTTATACAGTGTATAGGGTGGGCCGTTTCATCGGACTGAATGTCCAATAGTGTGTGTGCAATGTATAGGGCATCTAGTTAGGAGATAAACATCATGTGTTGGCCAATTTCCGGGTGTTACTGAGTATTTGAAGCACTGAGTATTTGAAGCAAATGAAATATTCCCATGCTTCAAATACTCAATAACAACCAGAAATTGGCCAACACATGATGTTTATCGACATTGTAAACACAAAAGTAAACCAAAAGGTCCACACACGTTTTTGTGTCTGCACTCATTGACATCGAGTACGAGTACAGCAGTGAAATGTCATCAGCCGGCCGTTTCGGCTGTCTCCCATGGTAGCATCTGGAACTGTTCATTTGTGACGTCATTCGGACTTTACGTCACAATATGATTTGAATGACGTCATCACAGCTGACGACGTAACAATACAATGGTGTGAGCGATGTTTGTATGTATTAATATGCATGAATTTCCAGGAATCAAATACCATTTGATCACGTTTTTCAACCAATATTTTTTGCCAATAATGAAATATTCCGGTTTGATATTTTGCATTGTTTGTTTATTGTTTAATGTCTGTCACATGAAGCACAAACATAATCTAAAGTAAGAGTTCATGACTGAATGTGTATTTTGATGCTAGAATTCCTGTGACAGACTAGCACTCTACAATTTATCAAAAAATGTTGCTCCACAGCAATAATTCCGACATGTCATATAACAGCCTGAGAGCCAGCCTGACCCATATATATTTCCAATGCTCGGGAAAACAAAGTTCTGTATGGTGTATTGATTTTTATGTTAGGTGAACACTTGCTGTAACCCTGGAAAGAAATTCTGCATATGAATCCAGTTGATCTACCAAACTATTACCATATGTCTTACATGAAGTGAGCAAGGCTGGTTTTACCCAAAAATGATCTCACACAGCATTACAAGCTGGCGTGGTCCTGTGTGAAGAGCCAGTGCTGTAACCTCCAGGCTAACTCATACACCGAAGTAGCCAAGGTTGTGGTTTCAGATTGCACTCAGTACTTGTCCAGCTTTATCTCAAAACTAGACCAAATAATCTAGTGATTAGCATAATGACCATTGATGTACTCAGTGTAGACCTTACAATGGCATGCATCAGTCCAGTCAGTGAGTCTAACCCTCTCACTCTTTCCTGTCAGTCAGTTCTTACAATGCATTGCAGCTAACCAATTCTAACCAGATCATCACAGGGGCATGTAGGTGAAGGATCAACTGACAACTTACTTGAACAATCTCCAGCATTTCATTCCTAGAAATGTATCCATTACCATCCAGATCGTACATGCTGAATGCCCACTTTAGCTTCTGGTCCAGCTTCCCTCTTGATGTCACACTGAGCGCACACATAAACTCACGGAAGTCTATTGTACCGTCACTATTTGTGTCAAATGTGCGGAACACATGCTCAGCAAATTTCGATGCATCTCCATACGGAAAAAAGTTTCCATATATTTTCTTGAATTCATCTACAGAGAGGTGTCCACTTGGACAGTCTTTGAGGAATCCTTTATACCATTCCTGGAGTTCCTCGTCTGTGAAGCTTGTATTCTGGCGGAGATCCTCCAGAATCTCAGGCTTCAGTTTACTGTTGCTCTTCCCCATGCTCGCTCTTCCTCTCGCACTTGCTGCTTGCTGCTTCCTTGCTTGGCTTTGGTGCTCACAGGCCTTGCTCAAAGCTCAAACTGAAATGGTAATAGTAAATGTGAAGATTTTTTACAAACAACAGCAATATCTGAGGTGGAAACTATACCATTCAACCATCAATACAGCTATTACTGCTCTAAAAAATGATAACTTACATAAATGAAGTTAAACACAATGATAAATCATGCAATCAAAGTAACAGTCTGTTTACGTCTAAAAACCCACAAAATACATGTTCAAAACATGAAAAGTCTAAGTGTCAGTTGGCTAAGGAAGTAATTGTAATATCTGTACATGCTGTTGAGCCGCTGAGTATTGAAAAAAAAGGCAATATCTGGCAGCAGTCCAGCAATTGATTGTACAGATCTGATTGGTCAAGAGCATAGCACCGTGAAGCCATAAATGGAACATTCAACTATAGATAAACAAGTTACAGGACCATAAATACAACAGCCAGTATAATCTAGTTGAGATATTCACGCATACTGTGTCACACAACTACTATACAGTACTGCACAAAAACAAATACCATGTGGCACATACAACTCTGAATAGTCACAAAACATCCATACAGTGTCACATGACAACCATCCATACAGTGTCACATGACAACCACACACATAAATCTGACATATTTGTTGAACGCCTAATATCCACCTCAAGATGTTACGTGGCACTAAGGACAAATTAGGCACAAGCTCAGACATTATTATATGACCCCAGTTAGCCCAAGCTGCCTGTGAAGCACTGGGAGGGTTAACAGTCATATGGCCATCTTATCCCACCGGGTACCCATTCACAGTTGGGTGAACAGAAGGAATTTTGAAAGAAAACCAAGTGCCTAAGGCGTAAACACATGTGTCACAGGTTCTTCATTGTGGGGCAGGAACAAAGTCCTAGAAACTCTCAGGAGACAAACATGGTCACCCACCAAGGGCTTCATGACCAACTTCAACCTGTTTGTGACCTTGGTCCTACAGCCAACAATGCAGTATATAGGGATGACGTTTCCCACTTCTATGACTTGAATTCTACGACAAAATTTCCTGGATCAAACATGCATATCAAACAGCATACCACATGCCATCCTGAACTCCAGCAGTTGTCTGACAACACTACTCCTAACCCAAGAATGTAAACAAAGTCATATCAGTTGTGTATGGAGTGTAGCTGTATTACATCTCACCATAGCCTTGTACTTAAGCCCCTAATCCAGCTGTGCCTAGCAAGGCTGCCATGTGAAGGCATGTGTTGGATCAGCAGGCTACAACTACCCTGGGAATTATGTCGATAATCATGTTAATCATGTTATTGATATGGGCTGAAATTGTCAGACATGGGCACTGTCCAGTCCAGGAAGCTTCAGCCTTGTTGGCAAGGACACTAAGTCTATTACTTTAAGGGGCGGTGGGGTAGCCCAGTAGTTACAGTGTTTGTTTGTCACACCATAGTTCAGTCCTGTAAACACTGCATCCATCAGACAGCATACCTTGAGCAACCACAGAGGTGACTGAGGTTTGTATCAGAATGATCCTGCCTTGACAGAACTGAGTGAGTTTGGTTGAACCAAGGTTTAAGCAGTAAGTATTTGATAATCATCATAGCAAGGAAAGCCAAAAACGGACATATTGCAGCCATATGTGAGACCAAACTCAAGGCGGGTGTTTTAACTTCTGGGCTACACCACCAACCAGTTGACAGAACTAAACAACAACGTAATAGACGTATACATGACATGGAATGACCACAACATGAATATCATTTCTGGTATTTCTTAAAAACCTGTCTAGGAAAAACAGTAAAATAATCAGCTCCCTCATTCAAACACTGATTGATGATGCAGGATTAAATTAGGAAAAAATCTTATCCCCACATTCTGGTTAAACTTTTTCAGTTACCCAAATAAACCCAGTTCTAAACTAACAACTTAGAAGATTAGTCCTAAATGTGGACATCTTCCACATGTAAACTTATCCCAAGAAATGCTACCGGTACCTCTAGGAATGACTGCTTCCTCCACAACCTCGCTGTTAGCAACCAAATCATGTACAAATGAATGGCAGTAATTCCGACCAGTATTGAGTTCCCTCCAGAAATATGTAACAGTAATAGACCGTTGCCAGGCCATTAGCTGCCATCTTACAGCAGCACTCTGTGTTCTCCTTACATCTCAAAGTCATGGAGTTGGAGGTCAAGAATTTTAAGCATAATAAATATAAAAAACAGTTTGGTAACATGGCGTTTTCGACTTTGTGTTGGCTCTCTAGACGTGGCTCCTTGATAACTTCATCCACAAATCTCCACCTCCGTATGATTATGCAGTCTAATTTGGGGGCTGATAATAACATTGATTCTGTTTTCAATCAGTGTATTTCAGCATACAGGCTGTCTATTATTCATTTTCTCAAAATTCATTTCATCCAGTTTATCAATACTTCTGAAATGAATGATTTATAGAATAGTTCTGCTGCTGTAAGACAGATCAATACCTGCCTCCACTCACCAGGAACACATGGGAAAAGTCACTATAGCAACCACATGAGAAACTACAAACACTTCAGCCAAACACATTTCAAAGGAGATGGTAAAAATTTAATAATGTGTGCTAAAATTACAGACATTTGAATGATATTTTCAATAATATGTTTTCATGTATAAGGTATCCGTTTCCAACACATCATGACATTTGGATAGTTATAGTCTGTTTGCAGTGAAAACGTACCGAATTTCACTTTAAACAACATGAAGATGCTAGAGATCTTTTCTCTTCCAACCTTACATTCGAAAATACACTGAAATTGTTTTAGAAACCAAAGACATCTTTCTTAAACATACGCCCTAATCAAACTATGCACACTCCCCAAAAGAGTTGTGAAGCATTTCAGTGATCTTCCACCCGGCTAATGTTATAATATGTACGTGGATCCTATAACACGGATTACCTGCCCAGCAAGGAGGGGCTAGATCACCTACATACACAACCACTGTAAGAATATATGTGTCGCCTCAGGGCTGGTTGGAGGTCCCCTGAGTACCAGCACCAGGGCCTTCCAACCACCCCATCCTATACAAACACAGGTTATTGCACACATTTAGCTTCACCAATTGTTTCGCAGTCAAAAAGCTTCAAAGTTGGTGGGGAAGGAGCCTGTTTAGGAAAATGGCTTCCTCGAAGTGTGTTAATCTAATATAGATGAAAGTGCAGGTAATGCAGAGCATATCTGGCTCACTTCTGAGCATATGGTAAAGGTGAAGGACACACACACACGTCTATAACAAGACCGACTGAACAGAACGAAGAACTTTGATCATGTTTATTACTGACATGAATTGAAGTACATGTTTACCTTTATTTTCATCATCAATTTACTGCATTGGGAAAAATGGCAAAACATCCCACCTGCCCAACTTGGTGATGGCAACAGAGGTGAGGTATTTTAAAGTAAGACTCTCGTTCATAAACAAACACCAACTGGATTTTCTTTTTTCAAACCACAAAAAATGGGATTGTAATATGCATCTGTGTTGTAAATCACACTTACATGAACAGTCAGAGTCATCAATTTCAAGGCTCTTGTCATCACTTAAACACCAAAGCTGCAGATGAGAGCTGTCTCACAGACGCTAGACGCTGTACAGTAAAGCTGTACAGTAAAGCTGCAGATCAGAGCTGCCTCACAGACACTAGACGCTGTACAGTAAAGCCAGAGACAACCTCCTGTTGTTGTAATGACATAACTGATGGATCAATTCACAGAATGCTGAGCCAACAAAATACACGTATTGACCACAGATCCATGTAATAACAAGGCATAACACGTCATAATCAGCAGCCACTGTCATGTAAACAAATTATACTATTCAATAAAACATCAGTGGCAGATAAGACGTTATTTTATTGCCTTCATAAGTGACAACATTAAGATATGGCTTTCTTTCGCATACCAGCTGAACACAACCAGGTGATAATAGGATGTCTCTGTTCCAAGCTTCATTGTACATACTTCTTGTACATACATTACAATCAGATGGTGATGTGATATCTTCAGAACTGCCTGACATTCCAGCAGTGTTCAATACAAATGAATGGGTAAATGGTTGTTCACCACTCTAAACAATATTCCAACAACTAACAGTGTGTACAACCTGAAATGGGCTTCACATATTGTCCTCATGGAATCAAACCAGGGCCTTCAATTCACATGACACATATAACTGGAACAAATTCTACACACCACTGGAAGAGCCAGTAACCATCACTTAAATACAGAGGTCTGAGAGACTAGCTTACTCCGTCCTGAAGTTTGGATAGCTTACCTATACTGCACACCCTCCTCCTGCTCCTCCCTGTGAGAAGCTGTACAACTGGTCACCTACAGCCTGTGCACACTACTGAGTGGACGCCTGTCTTACCTCCCTCAACACGCAAGGGATTGCTCCCTGTGCATAGCCAGAGGGGTCACTTGTACAGGGTCAGGTAAAATGTGAGCATGCCCCTGAGGCTAGATGATTAGAAGACTTGAAGACAATGGCAGGCTCACATCAATCTGGCCACTCTTTTGTTCTCAGCTTACTGCATTCAGTTAAAAGAACAACCCATTTGTGATGTAATATCCACTTCGACACTATGTGTCATTTGTCATACAACACACTTTCAGCACAAAGTTGGTAAATTATACAGATTCTGTGAAAACATTTGTAGAATAAACTCATAAAAGTTTAAAAATGTCATATCAGAAGGTGATATTGGAATGGTAGGTGATATATATGATATCAGCTATTATATAATTGCTTTATGACACGATCGGCAGAGAGCTGACAGGTATATGTAGGAGTATAATGAAATGTGAGACAGGCACCCTAGCTGTTACTGGTGGTGTTACCTAGCTACAGTGACAACCTGTTGCAGCTAGTGTCCACTCACAATGATGAGTGACTTACACTGGAGCTCCTCCACCAACTGAAGAGCAACTAAATCATGTCCTTGACATAAGGAAGGATACCTGGTCCGCCATGCACAGACAGGTCACTCTGCTGG